GGAATACTATGCAGCCATCAAAAGAAATGAAATCTTGCCATTTGCGACGACGTGGATGGAACTAGAGGGTATCATGCTTAGCAAAATAAGTCAATCGGAGAAAGACAACTATCATATGATCTCCCTGATATGAGGGAGAGGAGATGCAACATGGGGGGTTAAGGGGGTAGGAGAAGAGTAAATGAAACAAGATGGGATTGGGAGGGAGACAAACCATAAGTGACTCTTAATCTCACAAAACAAACTGAGGGTTGATGGGGGGAGGGGGGTTGGGAGGGGGCGGTGGGATTATGGACATTGGGGAGGGTATGTGCTATGGTGAGTGCTGTGAAGTGTGTAAACCTGGTGATTCACAGACCTGTACCCCTGGGGATAAAAATATATTATATGTTTATAAAAAATAAAATTAAAAAAAAAGAGAGAGAGACTTGCCCAAGACTCCCAGTTAAGAGGCGAAGTAGCCAGGATTCAGCCATATTGTATTCCCCCTCAGCTACTAATAAAATCAGCAACAACTGAAATGAAAGCCCTGACTCTGTGCTGGGTGTCACTTTAATTACTTCACATACAATCTCATTACGTCCTCACAGCCTCACTGTGTAGGCTTCGTCATTTTCTCCCATTGCACATATGAGGAAACTGAGGCACAACGAGGTCGATTTGGCCAGGATGTACAGCTGGTAAGTAGTGGAGCTGGGATTCAAAGCCCAGCAGCGGGGTGCCAAAGGTGACATCCTTACTGACGACATTAATTACATCCCATCTTTGAGAATTCCTTCCAGCTCTAAAGACTCAGTTTGCACATCTGAGACATGGGATCCCAAAGAGCCAAGAAGGTTAAGTGACCAGTCTCAGTTCCAGGCAGCTGGAACCCAGTGCACTGCCCTGAGTTTCTTTCCTGAAAGGAGTCAGGAGGAAAATTAGGGGGCCCCAGGAGAAGGATCCCAGGCCAGCAGGTTAGAATGCAGCTGCTTAGGTGCCCAGGGCTGAACTGAGGCCCTGAGCCCTGAGCTAGGATCCTGGAGCAGCAGGAGGTGACGAGTCACAGGCCAGGGCTTCTCTGGCTATAGGTGGCAGCATCTACACAGTCTCTCCCAGAGTCTCCTGCTTCGCTTCTTGGCCAACTAGCTACCTGCTCCCTCGGGTCTGGGCATTGGGCTTGGCAGTGCCAACTCTGTCCTCAGCCATCAAAGTCCAGTCCCTCCAGCTCCATCTCCACTGCCCTTCTGGAAAGGGTTCTGGGAGGCTGGACATCTGTGTCCAGGATGCTGGGTCTTCAGCCTCCAATCCTATTTTCCTCCCTCACTCATTCAAAGTTTGCTGAGCACTTAGGAGGGGCTCTAGAGGGTTTCATCACAGAGCTCATGCCCTAGAGGATAGGACGAAGCCCCAGCTACAGAGGTGGACAAGGTCCTCCTCAGGAGACTGTGGGATGCCGGGGGAAACCTAGCTCAGCCTGGAGACCAGAGATTTCCTGAAGGAGGTGATATTGAAATATTGAGTATTGGATATTGAATTTAAGTAGGAGTTAGCCAAGCATGACACTGCGAGTCATCCATTCTCCCCTTCTTCCTTACCCACAGAAATGTCCCCATTTGGAAACATCCAGCCATCTCCCGCCTTCCCCCAGCCTACTGGGATGCTGGTGACATTCTATATTTTGACTTGGGCAGCATTCACGTGGATGTACACATTTGTAAAAATTTAATTCATTTGTAACTTAAGATTTACTACAAGAACATTATACGCTAACTTTAAAAAGTAAAAATTAAGTTAAAAAAAAAAAAGTGTTTCCCTTGCAGCTAGAGATGACCATGAGACCCAGGACTGGCCAGTCAGAAGTTTGGGGAAGTACTGGGAGGGGCTTCCTAGGAAGCCCTTGGTCTTACCAGATGAGACAGATCTGTCTCTTGCCCATCATCCATTTGTACTTTGTCCAGAATTCTGGAACATGGATGCTGCAGCTGGAACAGCTATCTGGTGATCTTAAGGATTGTCTTAGGTGGGGTCCCTGAAAGCAGATCTTTAGATGAAGATTCATAAGATAGTGATGGTTTGGAAATGTTCCGGGAAGAATGGGTCTGGGAGTAGAGAGGTATCCCAGAGGGTGGTAGGGGGAGGGGAGGCTAGCAGGGGTGTGACAACAAGCAGGAAGGGGAGAAGGGAGGGGTTCTAGAGACAAGAGCAGGTGACTCTTTAGAGCTGTCCCGTGGAGCAAAAGAGTTGGAGCATTAATGTCTCTGTACCCATCAGTCATCAGGTAACAACTCTGGGCAGGAGGACGTTGATTCCCAGGCACTTCAGGCTCTCCCTGTGGCAGGCAGAGCGAGCTGCTGCAGGCTCCAGGACCCTTTGACAAAGAAATACGGATACCAGCTATCAGGAGGGAAAGCGTGCCAGGAGCCAGTGTGCACAAAGGTGGCAAAGGGATCCGAGGCTATATGGACAAAACACGGGCCTCCCCTGTTACAGGGATGAG